GGGGGGGGGCGGAGGTCATCTTGTGCTCATTGCTACACCTCATAGTCAACTTTCAGGTAGGTCAAGGCAGAGTGCAGAGAGAAAGGGATCTCGCATTGGACAGCTCGGCCATACACCTCGCCCATACTGGCATGACCTTTCGCCGAAGCAAAGTTGGCTTGATTCCTGGCTCATTGGAATCTGAGGTCAAGTCAAGGGTTGTCGCTTTAGCGGATTCGAAGCCGGCACCTGGAACTCAGAATCGAACTCCTATCCATGGTACTACAACGCCTATGTATGAATTAGCAGATACGTATTCGAAGCAAAATGAAACAATCATCACTTTGTTCTTATACATATTTATGTCATTTTAGGAATCTTTCAATTTTCGTATTGAATAGTACTATCAAGCAATTGCAAGGTTGATAGGAGTGACGTGCAACTACCGCACTTATTAAATTATGAAGAATGGTACAATTCTATCGAACGAAATCTAAAGAGATGACTCTGCTTCTGTAAAGAAAAATCTAAGCAAAAGTGGGAAGTTCTTTGTTTTCAGGTCTTTGTACACATTTATAATTTTTATCCATGATCATGAATGCTTTACACACATAAAAAGAATGTGATCTTTAGCGAAATTGGCAGGAGGGCTGTTTCTTTAAACTAGTACTGATGCGGCGATGCTGGACAAACAATGGAACACCATGATCCAAGATACACTCCATTTTGAAGCATCTCCTGATGGTGGGCCAGAGAAAGGTTTGGTTATATAATCAGGAATCTATATCAAACTCTCGCAAGGAATTCTTGACAAAGCCACAAATACAACCAAGGAGTCGGAAAACTAGTTAGATCGAGCATGTTGAACTCCTGCCTTATAACGCTTTCGAGTTCAGTCCTCACTGGCTGTTTATTTTGTTTAAAGTGAGAAACAATATTTTTAAACTTAGCTTAAAACTTATTTCGAGTAGACGAACTAGAAACTCCGGGTTAGCGTTCAAAGCAATACTGAGTGACAGATTGACTCAAGGGGGAAGAAAATCGTTCAGTTCGTAAAAGCTATGAGTCTCTAACCGGTGTTTCCGTTTGCACCTCACACACCTTATTGATGGCAGACGAGGGGTCGCTGTTGCAGCTGCGATGTAATCTCTAACTAGTGGTTTTCGACCATGGACGATATGGAATCAATTTACTCTCTGCTCTCAAGCAAATCGAACCTTAAGTGATTCTGCCTCAGGCAACAAACGACGTCAAAGTCAAATAAGGTAAGAGTCACTTAAAAGATGAAAGGAAATATGTTCTCAGATTGGTCGAATCCTGTCCTACCCTCTCTGATCTCAGTCGAAGCTTTTCAAATGGCCACAAGACCTCTGAGGTTTCGTTTTTCATTTAATAATGAGTAGAGCTGTCAAAGGGGAACTGAATACGCGTGCCAAACGTATCACTCATTTTTAAACATCTTGTTTTAAACGGTCGTTTTAATCGTCCTCTGATAAAGTGCATAGACATTTTCAGACTTTTCCTGACACTGAACTTCCGTCAAATTCAGAAATGCAAAATCTTGTCCTTCCCTTAACGCAGTCGGTGATTAAGCAGTCTCTGGTATTCAATAATTTTAAGTGGTGGACATTCACCTGTGAGTTTAAATTTGGAAACGTTACCAACGTAATAATTAAGCACTAAATAGCAATTATCAAAAATTTTCATCTCCTGAAAAGACCATACACACCTGCATTGACACTCGTACCTCTAGGCTTGTTTTATTTCTTTTCTGCACTTAGTATGTAACATCAAAGCCACATGAGGCACGAATGCGGTTAATGCGGTCAGCTTCGATGCAACGTCAGCTTTAAACATGATATTACAGTATTACCATAAGAAATTTTTGTTGATTCAGTGCCAATCTTCCAAATAAGATGTCTTCAAGACTGATGGCCATCCACACTAACGAATATGAGCACCAGAAGGGATATCGACAAGTATGTTTCTAGTTTAAGCCAGTTTTGAAAAAATTTCATTTAAAATGAACACGTGATATGGTCAAAGCATTGATATAAAAAAATTTTTTCCATGCCATGCAGTTTTCCAAATAAACGTCGCATCGGAACACCTTTTACTGTAGAGTCAGTGCTTTGAAGCTTGTATATAAAATTTTTGCGTCACAAGCATCAGTGAATATTACAAGCCTCTTAAGGCGGCCAGATGGAGGTATATAAATAGACGCCTTCTCCATAAAATGTTCGCCCATACAGTGTCACATATCATGTCATTTTTTTCGTTAGAGACATCTTGTAGTCTATGCTAATAATACACCAGTAGTTCTTGCTCCTTACGTGTAACTGCATAAATATTGACATATGTTCTTACCCCGGAGAACGTCGAATGAGACATTAAGCTCTGGAGACA